GCAGAGTCAAACAGTTCTAGAATGGGAAGTAAGGATTGAAAGAAAATTTAAAAACCCAAGACACTACACATGGATCTATTCAAGAGGGCTTCCAGTAGAAACTAGGCACTCAGTTTATTCCACAGTCCCTTTTTATAGTCAGAGCAAAGCACTTTGATACAATGAAGTTCATTGAGAGGTCAGATTTGTTTACCTCGAACACTTGTCTGTGTGATCCTCACACAAACAAAAGGAAGTGAACTTGGCAAAAACATTCTGCTTACTGTCACTAACAAAAGGAAGTAAACTTGGCAAAACCTCTTGTCTATCTCTGTCTCCAGATGAAGACCAGGTTGAAAACATGATTTTGCTGAGAGCTCAATAATAAAGCATCCTGACAAACAAGTGGCTCTCCACATAAGCATAAACAGTCCTGTGATGAGATGGAAGTGACTAATGCATCTGCACTTTATCACTGACAGCAAGAAGGAGAAGGTGGGTGAGGAGTGGGCATTTCACATTGCTTTGAACTGACTTTCACATTGCATATAAGTGTGAAACAACCTCTCTATGATGGAGATGCTACTGCACTTTGTATACTGGAAAATAGGAGCCTTTTGAAGTGCTAGGGGAAGAACAGAAGCAAAAGCCTATCAGTAAAAGAAAAAGAAACAGATACACTCTGTCTTTTCCTTGTTGCACACCTTTTTCTGACTCTAGATATAGGAGTGAAACATTTAAAATTCTCAGTGTCTGTTGGCATGATGGTGCAGATCTTTTATTTATTTATTTATTTATTTATACTTTTTATTGATTCTTTGTGATTTTTAACAAAGAATTGCAGTTCTGCTCATCTTCCTGTCCCCTCACATCTACCCTTCACCCTTGCAACCTCATCCCTAAAATAAAACACATAAGCAAACAAACAACAAAACAAAGCACAGAAAACATCTCATTGAGGAAGCTGTAGGATGTCACAGTGTGTCTCACAGTAGATCCTTCTGGTCTCACATCTTCATTTGCAAATGTTCATTGCCAACAAGTTATTGGTCTGGTTTGAGGCTTCTGTGACACCATCAGTATTGGTTCCTCATCGGGACTCCTCCTGGTTATCCTGTTGTTGCCCTGTGTCATGGAGATCCTGCAGCTTTGAACAGAAGAACTGACCCTTTCATCCATCCCAGCCATTCACAGATGATACAGATTTGGAGATGGACCAATTCAGAGCCCTGGATCTAGGCCTGGGTGTTAACTGAGCTGGTCAGGCCACCAGCTCTCCCTTATCTGGTGAAGCAGATCTTTAATCCTAGCACCTGGGAAGCAGAGTCAAGTAGACCCCTGTGAATTTGAAGCCAGCACAGTGATATTGTATCTCAAAACAACCCCCCTCAGTGTGATGGACAATGAGAACTGAGTGGAGACCATTGTCTTATACAGTGGCTAGTAATTGGCACTGAGCCGGTTTCCAGCCACCACAAACTGCTCAGGTGCTTGGAGTTCTAGGTTCTGTACCTTTTGAAGGTTTTTGTTCGTTCTTTTGTTTGTTTGGTTTTTGGAGACAGGGTCTGTTTATGCAGCCCTACTTGTCCTGGAACTCTATGTAGACCAGGCTGGCCTCAAACTCTCATAGATCCACCTGCCTCTGTTTCCTGAGTGTTGTGTGTAAAGGTATTGACCAAACACACCTGCCTTGTTTCTCTGCTTCTAACCATCTATGTGACTTTAGAAAGGTCTTCCCAACACTGTCTCCAATTTTTTTATTTTTTTTATTTTTTGGTCTATTAAATCACAGGCTGGAATACAGTATATAATTTCATTGTTTTAAGTCTGTTATACCCAGTTCTCGAGCCCCCAAAAGATCTACAGGAATTGACTCCGTTGCAAAACACATGAGGGTCTTTTTATTGTAAATTACAAGCTGCAGCTTGGGCCAACATAGGCCCATCGCCGAAGTGGTGGGAGCTGAGCGCGCGTGCCCAGGTTAGTTGGGTGATTTATAGATTCTGGTCCATCCCAGCATGCCCAAGGCAGGGGCGATTCCTGCCTGGCAAGCATCTATTGGTCAAGATGTTACATTTTGAATCGATTGGCTATAGGAAGGTTCCCAGGCCATTGACCATGACCAGGTGTCCCTCCCTAAGGGGATGGTCCAGTTTCCTAGCAACCATATCTCTAGTGGGTGGGGAAAGAGCGCAGTGAGGTAGCTCTCCCCTCAGGGCATTACTATTTTACCGCACCTACTCTAGGTTTTAGCTGCCACTTTATCCTTTGGTCTCTCAAGTCCTTATTTCTTTTGTTGTTTACTGAGTTGTGTAAAATTAACCTACAATTATCTAATGTTCTACAATTCTCAGCTCTACTAATCACATGATGTTTTCAAAACTTCAAAAGCAAATTCTACCTGGTCCAGGTACTGGGCTCACACTTGTAATCTCAGTACTAAGAAGAAGCAAGTACAGGCAAGAGGACTATTTCTAGTTCCAGGCAAGCCTGAGCTACATGCTAAATTCCAATCCAGCCTGGGATACAGAGTGAGCCCCTGTCTCCAAAATAAATAAATAATAAAATAAAAAATAAAAAACTTGTGCCTATTAGTCATCATGCCTTCCAAATCTTCCTAGCACCTGACAATTACATAGGCATTAAAAATATATTATCATCATCATTATTAGGGTATATGATGTGTGTGTAGAGAATAACTTTATGGAATTGATTCTCTCCTTTCACCTTGCCAGCCACACGTAGGAGTTTCATGGCTCTTTCACGTGTTAGTATTTTTCAGTGCCTTTGTTTTTTTTTTTTTTTTAAACAGAGTATCTTTATGCAAACCTAGAAAACCTAGTTCTCTGGCCTAGAACTCTTTATGTAGACAGACAGTTTTGAGTTTTGAACTCACAGACATCCAACTAGTGGGATCAACAACCTGGGAGTATTTTAGTTTTGGTTTTGGTTTTGGTTTTTTTGTAATGAAAGTGAGTCTTGTAGCAAAGGCTGGCCTTAAACTCTTGGCCATCCTACTGCCTCAATTTCTCAAGTGCTGAGATTACAAGAATGAGCCATCTAGCTCAGCTTTCATTTCTTTTTTATGTCTGAATTATATTTTATCACAGATTTGAGCACCAAACACATACATTCGGTACTAGTTATGTACAAGGCAGGTACTGTGAGGAACTGGTTCAGATGTCTCTTTAGGTCTAGGGCCCTTTTTTTCTTTGCACAGGCAGGTATCCTGGGTAGCTAGCACCTAAAAGTGCATAGAGAGCTTTATGAAATATATTCTGGAATAGTGGGGAGCAAAATAAATAAATAACATCAAATTTCAGCATGAGAAAGTTTTTTTTTTATTTTTTTATTTATTTTACATCCCAAGGGTGACTGTTCCCTCCTCCTCTCCAAGACCTCCTCTTCCCATGTTCCCCTTCTCCTCTCCCTTTCCCCCAAAAAAGGGGAGCTCCCCCCTAGTATCATCCTTACCTAGCACATCAACTCACTTTAGGACTGAGCATATCTTCATCCCCTGAGGCCAGGAAAGGTATCCCTGGGGGAAGTTATCTAAAACCAGGCATGTTAGAAACAGATCCCAATACACACACACTTTCCAAGCACTCCATATGAAGACCAAGCTTCCCATCAGCTACATGTATGCAGGGGACCTAGGTCCAGATCATGCATGCTCCTTAGTTGATGTCTCAGTCTCTGTAAGCACCCATGGAACTGGGTTAGTTGTCTCTGTTGGTCTTCTTGTGAGGTTCCTGTCCCCTCCAGGTCCTTCCATCTTTACCCCAACACTTCCACAGGAATCCCTGTCAAAGGATTTTTTTTTTTAATTTTCTTTTAGTCCTCTGGCCACACAGATGAGAAGGCTCTCTGTGAGGCTAGAAGAGAATGCCTCTGACTACCTCTCTCTCCTTTTAATAGAACTCAGACTTTCAGTAGATAATTGTATCTAGCTGGAATTGTATCTAGCAAAATACTGCAAAGTATTTTGCTTCAGTGTGTATGTGTGTGTGTGTGTGTGTGTGTGTGTGTGTGTGTGTGTGTGTGTGTTTTGGGGGCAGGGAGGCAGAGTTTCAAGACAGGGTTTGTGTGTGTGTGTAGCCTTGACTGTCCTAGACTCACTTTGTAGACCAGGCTGGCCTCAAACTCACAGATAGCCGACTGCCTCTGCCTACCAGAGTCCAGAGTACTGAGGTTATAGGTATGTGCCACCATGCCCTGCTAAACTGTGTTTATTTTTAATTCTCTTCTATTTATACTGTTAAGATTTAACTATTTCTTGTTTAACATTTCTTTTCAAATAAGATCATATGCATTTTATAAAGTGAGCTAGCTTAAGGAAATATTAGGTATTATTTAGATGATATGCAGATTTGAGAAACTATATTAACAACAGAACAGTGCTTCAAAAATACCAGCTTAGACATGACATTTACTGTAGATACCATGTGAATTTTAGTATGTGTTTCATGTGCTGCTTCAAAACCGTGCCCTTCACTCATTACTTGTTATCTGTTAATAAATAAATTGATTTGAAGTATGTCCAATTACCCCAATTTTGAGGAGAGGCCAAAAAGGAAGCCCACACACAGTGCCAAAGGTTTTCAAGCACAGTAAGCTTTGATGTCTCTAAGCCACTTAGTTTATTAAAGAGCTCAAACAACTAAATTTGTTCCATTGAATACAGAAGCCAGAAAATTCCACCTGAGCTAGAAAGGGAACTGGATTCTTTCAGACAGTTTCCACCACACTAAGTTAACCAAACAAAATCAACAGGAAATATGGAAAGAATTCCTAACTTGAATTAGATCTTTATAGGTTGGTACAATAAGTAGGAAAACAACCCGTTCAGGTAGGAGGTCAAAAAGGAATCTTCCCCTAAGCAGGAAGAAGTGGGTCTCCGCCTTCTCTCCTAAGCCACACCCACTCGTCGAAGTCCAGCCCCTTACGTAAGCCAACACCACTCCCTTCTGGTCCCCTCCCCGTAAGCCCCGCCTCGCCCCAGAGGGAAGTTTGGCGCAGAAGCCACATACCCGGAGTGGGCTGGCTGCTCGTAGGGATCTCCGCCTACCGTGCCTCCTGCGTGCACTGAAGATGGCGGCCGTTGCGGGAAGGTTGCTCTGGTCTTCGGTGAGTGGCTGCCAGCTGGGCAGGCGCACGGCACAGCAACGACCCCGGCCGGCACCTGCTTCCAGGACAGGATCGCGCTCTCGTGACCACTAGCCCTTATGGGAGGGAGTCCTCACCTCGCGGACCCCGAGGCCTTTGCTGCAAGGAAGGCCCCAGCGCTTGCGCAGGACAGCCTTACCTCATGCCTCAGAGGATGGTTCGCTCTCGGAGTCCTTGCCTTTCGGAGTCGAGGGTTCCCATGCTGCTTCTTCGCTAAAGTACCCAAGGCTTGGCTTTGTTGGCTTCTGTAGTCTAGGGTCTGTCACTAAATATGACCTTGGGAAAGTGACTTGTGCGTGATTTTTCGAAACAGGTTTCTTTGTGTATCCCTGGCCGTCCTGGAACTCGCTCCGTCCTGGAACTCGCTCTGTGGACCAGGCTGGCCAGGAACTCACAAGAGCTTCGCCTGCCTCTGCCTCCCGAGTGCTGAGATTAAAGGCGTGCACCGCCTCGCTTGACATCTCATTTCTGAACCTCAGTATTCTTTCCTTTCTTTTTTCCTTTGTATGAACAAAGTGCTACAGTAACGGAAGCTGCTTTCTATTCCCACACTCAGGCTGGACTCTGCCTTAGTAGCCCCTTTTCTGGCAGCCTTTTATCCTCTTGCCCTTCTTTATCATCACGGGGCTTAAGGCAGCCCCTACCTCTTCCCTGAGCCATGCTAGACATTAAGGTTGAGCAAACATTTCCCTTGAGTTCTGGCCAAACTTACCCAGGCCATGAACTTTGCCATATTCCTTCACTGGAATCCTGGGCGTTTTTCTGAGAAAAACCTTGACGTGGCCACATGTGCAGCAGATAGCCCTGGATGGGATTTGGGGAGGATGCTTAACTAACTTAGCCTAGCCTAGCTTTCCTGAATTTTGGAGGTTTTTATTCTTGGGGCTATGTTATGATTCCCTTGGCCTTGCAGTCTTTAAGGAAGAAGAAAGCAAAAGGGAATGTTGAGAACATGTAGACTCAATCCATGCTTTTTATTTGATTTGGTATTTGGTTCATTGGGAAAAGAAACAGCTGAGGCCACCATTCACAAAGGACCACAGCAGCAAGGCCAGACTTCAGTCACTCTTCCAAAAAGTCTTCCTAATAGAAAGCTTTTCTCTTTCCAGGTTGTTCGGCGGCATGGGAGTGCTATTTCCCGGGGTATTTCTGCCTCAGCAGTTCTTAGGCCTATTACTTCTAGAAGAACCTGCTTGACAGACATACTGTGGTCTGCCTCTGCCCAAGCAAAGTTTGCCTTTAGCACCAGTAAGTGTTACTCTGTTCTAGCTGCACCCAGGTAAAGAGAACCCATATCAGCAACTCTGGACCCTGGCAACACATGAGACATTCTCAGAGCTTTTTAAAGTGCAGTATGAGAATGTGTAGCTGGATCTATGAGGAATTGTTCAGGAACAGTAAGTATTTGGCAGTTTCAAAAATTTAAGATCTACTTTTAAGAAAACAGGAAGAAAATGAATGGAAACTAGATGGTGGAGGCACACACCTTTTATCATCCCATCACTTGGGAGGCAGAGGCAGGCAGTTCTCTTGAGTTTTAGGCCAGCCTAATCTATGGATCTAGTTCAGAACAGCCAGGGATACCCAGTGTTGAAATCCTGTGTTGAAAAACCAATTAAAAAAAAAAAAAAAAACGTTCCAGGTCAATCAGGGCTTCATAGAAACTCTGCTTGGGAATAACAAACAAAACCCCCAAAACAAGGAAAAGAGTAAAGAAAGCTATAATCTAGGAAAAAGAAAATATTTGCATAATATACTTAACGAAGGATATTCCTCTAAGATACTTAATTACAACTCAATAATAAAAAGACAATTGGAAAGAAAAAAAGGATTAAAAAAAAAGACAACTGGATAAAATGAATACACAATGCACGACTAAGTTATACTTAGTTGTGTGGTACCCAACCCCAGCTTTGAAATGTGTCCTGCATCTTGCTGTTAGTGCTCTCTCTGCCACGCCTTAGTGACTCCCAACTAAGATAACTACAGTCATTGCCTATCAGTCTTACCCTCCTGACGACCTAATCTTTCTGAAAACAGCCATCTTCCTGCATTTAGAGTTTCCCAGACTCATGAAGAACCAATCCTGCTGCTTGTTACTGAGGGTCCATTTAGGACTTGCTCTCACTTTGTTTTGAGTTTGTTCCTCTTCCCTGTATACTGGACTCTCTTGGTCAAGCCAAACACAGGGTGTGATATGCACACCCTGTACTTTCCTGCTATTTGGCCCACCTAAACTTGACAAAATCTGAACCATCTCCATGTTAGGCTGCCTTCTGTGATTCTCACTATTTCCTTTGCTTTTAGTTCTTTTAGTTCTCAGGGCATTTCGTTCATTCTTCCTGTTTTTCATTGTTTTAAAAAATTTTTCTTCGGGGCTGGAGTGATAGCTAAATCAGTAGCTAAACTAGCATAAGGACCCAAGTTCGACCTTCAGAAACCACATAAAGCTAGGCATGGTGGTGTGTGCTTGTGATCCTAGCACTCAGGGAAGAGGAGACAGGTGAATCCTTGGAGCTCTGTGTAGCCTACCCTATTTGGTGAGCTCTGAGTTTATAAAAGACTATTAAAAGAGAGAAAAGGTTTAAAAAAAATGGCTTCTGAGGGTCAATGCTGGAGGGTGTTCTCTATTTTAATGCTCATGTGCATACACACAAACACACTTCCCCCTAGTGCTGAGTTGAGTTTTATATTATTTAGAATTGTGTTGAAAGGAAAATTACTGTACCTAATATATACAATTGGAGTAAACCATCTCATTGAGTTATACTAATAAGCGACTTATATCACCAGTTATGATAAGATTCAACAAAAGGAGTTTAAATGAAATCATGCAGTACTTGATGCAATGGATGACAAGCTACATACAAATGTGCGGTCTTTTTTAGGTTCCGCAGTCCATGCCCCTGCTGTCACACAGCATGCACCCTATTTTAAGGGCACTGCTGTTATCAACGGAGAGTTCAAAGAGCTGAGTCTGGATGACTTTAAGGGGAAATACTTGGTGCTTTTCTTCTACCCTTTGGATTTGTAAGTTTGATTCTGTATTTTCATGTCCCTCAGAAAGCTGGTGTTGATTTCTAACCCACACTGAAATTTCTCTTCTAGCGAAGAGGAAGAGTCTTTGTAATTTTTGTCCATTGACCTGGGCCATCTGTAGCTCATGTGAACTTACTAGGAGAAAATGGCCTTCCTTTTAATGGAGGAGTTTCAATATGGTTCTGTTGGTTTTTCTTGTGGTCCTGGGGATCAAACCCTAGGCCTTGTGCATGCTAGGCAAGCACTTGATCACTAAATTATGCAATTCTGTCTTCCATGCTTTTGATTAATGGTTCTTTAAGCCAGTCTAAACTTTACACCAATCTAGATGGAAAATGAGAACGTAGTAAAAGAAATGAGTTTTTTTCATCTGGACATGGTGTCACACACCTATAGTCCCAGCACTTAGGGAGACAGGCAGGCAGGCAGATCTCTTTGAGTTCCAGGCCACCTGGGTCTGCAAACTGAGTTCATGACAGCCAAGGCTTCACAGAGAAACCTTGTCTCGAAACCCATCTCTCCCCCTCAAAAGGAATGTTTTTCATAAGTGTGCTTTATTTAAATACAGATTTTCTTTTAACTTTTCAAATGTGCCCCTATGCCTCTGCATATATCCCTTTATTTGTTTATTTGAAGCAGGGTATCTCTATATAGCCCTGGCTGTCTTGGAATTAATTGAAGACCAGGCTGGCCTTGAACTGACAGAGATCCTCCTGCCTCTACCTTCAGAGTTCTGGAATTAAAGGTGTGTGCCACCATACCCAGCACATTACATTTTTCGCCCCTAAGCAAATCAGTTTAGTTTTTATATTACTTACAGTTTATATCTTAAATTTTTGTTTTTATATGATCTGATGAAAATTTTTTTCTCCTCCAAGCACATTTGTGTGTCCTACAGAAATTGTTGCTTTCAGTGACAAAGCCAATGAATTTCATGATGTAAACTGTGAAGTAGTTGCAGTTTCAGTGGATTCCCACTTTAGCCACCTTGCCTGGATCAATACACCAAGGAAGGTAGGTTGGGTGATATTCACCTTTCCTTGATTTTATTTTATTCTTTGGTTTCATTTCTAATTCACAAATAATACAGACTACACAATAAAAACATTGTATAAGCTAGGTGTGGTGGCACACATCTGTAGTCCCAGTACTCACGGAAGCAGAGACCATCGGATCTCTGTGTGTTCAAGGCCAGCCTGGTCTACAAAGCAAGTCTAGGACAGCCAAAGCTATACAGAGAAATGATGTCACAAAAAAACAAAACCCAAAACAACAACAAAAAACCATTGTATATATTTTTGGGATACAATGTGTACATTATTCAAGGATCAAATCAGGTTATTCAGTACTCTTTCCTCAATCATTCCTTTTTTAGTCTGGTGAGGGTGGTTCACGCCTTTAATCCCAGTACTCAGAAGGCAGAGGCAGGAGGATCTTTGTGAGTTTTAAGCCAGCCTAGGGAGTTCCAGGACAACCAGAGCCACACGGTGAGACCCTGACTCAAACAAAGAAGAATCTTCTTTTAGCTAGTTTAAAAAGCACATTATGTTCTAACTATAGTCACCTATTGTACAGAAGAACAGAACTTATTCTTATCTAACTAATCATTGGCCAGTATCTTCCTCATTCCCCAGCTACTCCTGTACTTACAGAAGATCCCTCTACTTACAGAAGAGCATTAAAAGAAAGTCTAGAGGTTATCAAAGTATAGCTAGTCTGAAGTAAGCTTCATGTCTACCTGCCTTTTATCCCCTTTTTTCCTTTCAAAAACAGTGTTTCACATATTTCAGGCTGGCCTTGTAGCTGGATATATTTGCTCATATGATCTTGAGCTTCTGATCCTCAAGCCTCCACCTTCCAAAACCTGGTTTATACCTTGCTGGAGACCAAATCCAGGTGATCCATATCCTACGGAAATGGGTTCTTTGTAGATGCTCACCTGTTAGCAGTGTGTAAACTATGGTGGTAATGTCCTTGGACATTGTATGTATCTTTACTGCTCATCCCATGTATATTTTCAAAGGTTCATATAATAAAGGAGATAGGTTCAGTGGAACAGGGCACATGGCTGGCGTCTATTGCCTTCTCTTGGGCCTGTACTTTGAATCCTTAGTAGCTTGCTGTACTGTTCTGTGTAATATGTAGAAATCTGCTAGTGAAAACTAAATTAAAAAATTCACTAGGTATATTCTACGACTAACAATAATTAATTAGTTTTCATCTGAACAGCTGTTTTAAAAATTAGAAACAGAGCCAGGTGGTTGTTGTGCACACCTTTGATCCCAGCACTCAGGAGGCAGAAGCAGGCAGATCTCTGTGGGTTCAGTGCCAGCCTGGTGTACAGAGTGAGTTCCAGCACAGCCAGGGCTACACCAAGAAACCCTGTCTCAAAAAAAAAAAAAATTTTTTTTAGAAAACAAGGACAGGGTGTGGTCATAGCATTTATGTAACATGTAAGCCTTGAGTTCAGACCCCAGTACCATATAAACTAAGTGGGTTAGCGTAGCCTGTCACCCCAGCATTTCAGAGGTAGAGGCAGGAAGATCAGATGTTCAAGGTCATCATTGGCTACAAAGTAAGTTGGAGGCCATTGCTACAGGAGACCTTGTCTCAAAAAGATAAAGAAAAGTCAGTCAGTCTCTAGCAGTGGCCTGAGGAAAAGTTCTTAGCCTTTTTGGGCTTCAGTTTCCTTATCTTTAAAATAATGGAGGTGGGTCATGAAGTCGTTGAGCAGATCAAGTCCTTGCTGAGCAAACCTGACAACCTACCACTGGAGCCCACATAAAGTGGAGGAGAGAACTCCACAAAGTTGTTCTTTCATGTAATGCCACATGTCCAAACCCCATACCCCATACCCCACACATACACACATCAATTAATACAACAAAATAATACTTGCTGGGCTAGAGAGATGGCTCAGAGGTTAAGAGCACTGTCTGCTCTTCTGAGGTCCTGAGTTCAAATCCCAGCAACCACATGGTGGCTCACAACCATCTATACAGGGATCTGATGCCCTCTTCTGGCATGTAGGTGTACATGCAGGTAAAGCACTCGTGTACATGCAGGTAAAGCACTCATCTACATTGACTAAATAAATACATCTTTTAAAAAAATAAATAAATAATAGGTGCTAGAGAGATGGACCATTGGTTAAAAACACTCCTATTCTTCAAGAGGACCCAGGTTCAATTCCTAACATCCATATGGCCACTCACAACTGTCCTTAACTCAAGCTTAGGGATACCCTTTCCTGGCCTTCTAAACACTGCATGCTTTTAGTACACTTACCTGCAGGCAGAACACTCAGGCACACAAAATAAAAATAAATAAATAATTGTATTTGCTTTAGGTTGGTTGCAAGAGGGAAAACTAAGTTAAACAGAATTTCCTTATTTGAATTTACTTTTATTTACAACCATCATTAGTTTCAAACATTGGTACATGGTCCAGACCCTGTAGGACCACCCTAGAAAGTCAGTCCCTTTGTTTTGTTTTTAATTTTTAATATTTATTTATTTATTTATGCCTCTTTATTAGAATGGTGGTTTGGGCCACATGAACATCATGCTGTTGTCAGATTTAACTAAGCAAATAGCCCGAGACTATGGAGTGCTATTGGAAGGTGCTGGCATTGCACTCAGGTAAGAACTGTTCTTCGAGATGAAATAGTTTTGCTTATTTTAGTGTCATCTTGATTTTTAAGGATTCACAAAGACTCTAGTAAAGCATTTTTGTTTATCAGTTTTGGTAAACCTCAGGAAGAAATACAGGGTTTTTTGTTGTTGGTGGTGGTGTTTTGATTTTTTTTTTGAGACTGGGTTTGGATATTATGTAACCCAGGCTATCTTTGAATAGATATTCATTTTGTTCCACCTCCTTAGTGCTGGGATATAATGGGCATGTATCACAGGAATGATACCTGGATGGTAAAACTTATCAAAAGCAAGTTTCCTTTTTTTTTTTTTTTGATTAGGGTTTAGAATTTATAGAATAAATTTAGAATATGTGTGTGTAGTATTTTATGTATATAATACATATGTATGTAAGAGATTTATTAGAATGGCTTATAGGCTGAGGTCCCACTATTTTAACAATGGCTGTCTACTAATGAAAAAATACAGTGGTTGTTCAGTCCATGAGGCTGGATGTTTCAGCTGGTCTTCAGTGTACTTTAGAAACACTAAGCAGTATCTACAGTGCCAGTGAAAGAATGGACTTGGCTATCAAGAGTGAGAGTAAACAGGCAAAAAGAGAGCAAGCTTCCTCCTTTCATGTCCTTTGCTTTGTACATGTCCAAGCTTCGGGTAGGTTTGGTCCAGATTAAAGATCTTTTTGCTTCAAACATCCTGATTAGATGATTTAATTAAGAAAAACTTCATTGGGCAGTGGTAGGGCATGCCTTTAATCCAATCACTCAAGAGGCAGGTGGATCTCTTGAGTTCAGGGCCTGCCTGGTCTGGAGAATGAGTTCTAGGATAGCCAGGAATAAACAGAGAAACCCTGTCTGGGAAAAAGAAATTTAAAAAAATCTCTCACAGGTGTGCCCAGTGATTTGGGTTTTTAGTTCATTCCAGATATGGTCAAGTTGACAACCAAGAACAGACTTCACAGACTTATTTCGTGTGTGTGTGTTGCCTACATGTATGTCTGTGCAAGCACTGCCCTTGGAAGTCAGATCGCCTGGAACTAGACTTACAACTATTATATGGGTGTTGGGATGCTAACCTAAGTCCTCTGCAGGAGCAACAAGTACTTTTAACTGCTTCCCAGTCCCCTGAAAAAGCGTTTTATGTCTACATAGGCACTGATGAATAACTTCTATGAGGGTTGCAGATCTTCCAGAAATGTCTAAGACATGTGCCCCATTCACTGTAGTGTCTCCTTTTAGGAAAGGGTGCCATGTCTTGATGGTCACACTGACCCATTTTCTTTATCATTCAGGAACCCTTCCATAACAGCTGCTCCTACACTAAAGCTACTGAACTGTTTGGAGAAAAGCTCTCTCTGTCTCTGTGTGTGTGTCTCTCTCTGTCTCTTTCTCAGTGGAGATGATTTTATGTAAGCCTTGGAACCAAACAAAACAGTGTTTGATTCCTTTTTTAAAACTTGGCTTCTTAGTTAACTTTGAGCAAGTTAATTGCCTTTCTGTGCTTCAGTTTTCTCATAGATAAAATGAAGAGGAATCTCTGGTGGATGTGGAGGACTAACCTTCAGTTGTTGTAGCCTGTGCTTTCTGTGTTTTCTCAATCCATGGGAGTGGGGAAAGCTCTCTGTCTTACATAGTCATCTGCTCAGATGTGGCCTTCTTGGGTATTCATTTATGGGAACACTGGCTTTGGCTGTCATCTGAAGAAGAAGGCCAAACCTTAGAATACCACACAGTTGGATGGGGGCTAGATGCTAGCTGAAACCAATTCTTCTTGAACCTCGATGCTGACAGCCTTTTGGAAGTCACCCTTATTGACTTCAAGATTACTGTTTTCTAAAGTTTCCTTGGCTTTGGTTTCAAAGCCAAGCTCCTCCGTAGTTGGCAATGGCAGGAGAAAATGTAATCTGTTATGCTTTCTTCCTGTGGGTTTTTTGTTTTGTTTTGTTTTGTTGTTGTTGTTGTTTTGGTTTTTTTTGCCTGTAGTAACTCCTATCAGTTTTCTTTTGGGGCTAACAAGGGAAAGAAAGCCGAGTCTAGCTGATATGTAGAGTCTGTGGGCCTGGTTCCTTCCCAGGTCTGCCTCTACTTCTCTCTAGGGATTGCACCTGGCTCCCTTGAGAGATCAGGCACAAGAAGGATAAGGTTAGGATCAAAGCTTGGATACCAGACATCAGGCAGGGAAGAAGCCTCTGTGTACTTTTCCCTGTATAGTTGACACTTGAAGTCCCTATATTCCTTTAATCCTAGCACTGTGGAGGCAGAAACCGGCACATCTCTTTGAGTTCTAGATCAGCCTGATCCTGCATAATGAGTGCCAGGACTGTGTAGAGAGACCCTATCTCAAAAGCTTAAAAAAAAAAAAGGAATTGTGAGGCCCTATAAAGATGATTCAGCAGTTATGAGCTCTTCTCACTGCTGTGAATGGAGGATCAGAGATCGATTTTCAGGACCCATGTTGTGCAGCTTACAGCCACTATAATTCCAGCTCCAGAGGATCCAGCACTTTCATCTAGACTTCATGGGTATTTGCATGTATGTATACACAATAAACACACACATAAAGAAAATTTAAAGGGTGAAGTTTTACATATTCATTGGTTGTAGATAACATATGTCTCTCCTTCTTACATATATGTGGTTATTAAAGCAGAGGCTGATACAGGAGTCCAAAGAATGCATGGTAGGCACTGAGTAAAGGTCTTTACTGTCTGTAGTTCATTTCTTTTAGATATCAATATCACAGTTTTGCAATGTTCCCATAATGTATGCTTTTCATGGTGGCCTTGTATTATCAAAACATCTGTCATTACTAAAAGATGACAAACTTTTGTAATACTAATTACAGGTTGGTTTTTTTTTTAAGTATGTGTGTGTGACTGTGAAAGTATGTACATTCCAGTACATTTGTTCTTGGAAGTTATAAATGGATGTCAGATCCCTTGGAACAGGATTTACAGGCACTGTGTGCTCCCCAGCATGGGTTCTTAGAACTGAACTCTGAACAGACAGTACAAACTATTAATTGCTAAACAGTCTCTTCAGTCCCTAAAACCCCCATTTTCAAGCATTTCACAGCTTGATGAATTTTCTAAAAGGGCAACTAAAGACATAAAAGGACAGAAATGAGTTGTTGGCTCTAGGCTTGTTAGCACTAATGAGGACAAATTCTGTGCAGAGGCCTCTTTATTATTGACCCTAATGGTGTCATCAAGCACCTGAGTGTCAACGACCTCCCAGTGGGCCGCAGCGTAGAAGAAACCCTCCGATTGGTGAAGGCATTCCAATTTGTCGAGACCCATGGAGAAGTCTGCCCAGCCAACTGGACACCAGAGTCCCCTACGGTATGTTTTTTCCTGAGAGCACTAGGCTCCAATTCCAGGTCTTCTCAGCCTCAAGGGTAATCTATCAAGGGAGGTTACAGGGGTACTAGCTGAGTGTGATTGGGTGACACCAGGCTGGACAGTTTCTGCTCGGGATGCTAGTTAACTTTCATCTATATGTTTTGAACAAAATAGGCTATTCTTCAAAAGTATAGAAGTTTTAGTTTAAAACTGGGAGCTTGGGCCAGGTGTGGTAGCACTCACCTTTAATCTGGAGGCAAAGACGGGTGAATCTTTTTTAATTAGAGGCTAGCCTGGTCTACAAAGTGAGTACAGGATAGCCAGGGCTGTTAGACAGAGAAACCCTATCTCGAAAAACAAAAAAAACTGGGAGCTTTGAGTTCACATGTTGAGACTACTATCATGAAGTCCCTCTTAACCAATTTAATTTTCTTTCTTTTTTTTTTTTTTAATTTTCAGATCAAGCCAAGCCCAACAGCTTCCAAAGAATACTTTGAGAAGGTCCATCAGTAGGTCATCCCATGCTTGCTCTTCACCCAAAGCTTCTCATGCCAAAAAAAAGAGCCCCAGCTTGAATCCACTCAGTGCTCTGAAGATTATTTATAGAACGGCAAAACCTCATCATGCTGTGTTTATAAGGACTGTTCCACAAGCTTTGTTTTTTAAGACAGGCTCAGGCTCTGTAAAGGTGGCTAACTGCTTCCATAATCGTCCTTACCAGGGACTTCTTGATGGCTAACCAGTTCTCCATGAGTGTTTGGTGCCCATTTCTTAGATCATGTCTTCAGAGGGTAAACATTCTTCCTCTTAGCCTGCAGCAAACCTCTGTCTACAATGAAGTAGCAAGTAGCACCAGCATTTAATGAAAGCTTCTGATCAAGGTCCTGAAATTTCCTTTTGAATTTCTGTGTATTAAACTTAATTTCCCCATTATTTCTTATTGTATTCATTAACTCACAGTGTCCTTTTGTGTTCTGAGGTATTGATGAGATATAATCATGAAGGAGTATGTCTAATCCAGTGGTTGTATTTTTAAAACAGCATAATCATTTTCTTTCTTCAAGTGCTGGATGTAAAGTATAGTATAAAAATAAACATTAAAATATTTACATTTTTGACATCATTAACTTGGGTCAGTTTATTCTGGTGCACCACTCTTCCTTTGCTGACTTAGCTCAACAAATATTTATTATTCTGATTCCACTCTCAGGAAACTTATCAGGTGAGACTGATAAATTTCATTCATTATTTTTGATAGCTCCTGGAATGCCAAACATGTGCCAGGATGGCCTATTGAGACATTGGAGTGAAGGAAAAACAAACCCTCATCTTTATACACTTGGTTATAAAGTAGAAGCCCAATAAACAGTAGAAATCAGGTACCTGCAGGATTGGAACAGAGTTCTGAGTAGAGTTTTCAGGGAGGCCTGAGGGAGAAGAGACTGGCTCTATTTTCTCATCTGTGAAATAAGGGTAATTATATCTATCTTGGGAGTTTATATATGAATCAAATGAGAAAGAAAGAAAAAACATAGAAAAGGGAGTTAGCAAGTATCTTTGTGACTTTTCTGTTGCTGTGATATTTTTTAAGACATGGTGTCTCTGTGTAGCCTTAGCTGTCCTGGAATGCTTTGTAGACCAGGCTGGCCTCAAGCTCACAGAGACCCACCTGCCTCTGTGATTAAAGGCCAGTATCACTACTACCCAGAACTAGGATAATTTTAAGTCGATGCTCATGGTTCTATACAATTAGTTCATGATCTGCATGAAACTGGAGCAGAGCTTACATTTGAGGCATGACATAAGAGACCCAAGTGAAAATGGTGAGGGCTTCTGAAACCTCAAAATCAGCCCTGGAGCTTCCAACAAGGCCATACCTCCTGATCCTTCTAAACAGTTCCACCAACTGGGGACCAAGCATTAAAATATATCAGCCTCTGGAACCATTCTGAAATCACCACAGGAAGTAAGGGGCTTCTAGGCAGGAGACATGCATAGCAACTGCAGAGGGCCAAAAGAGAGCCAAAGAAGGGCATGCCACTGGAGCATAAAGGAGCGTGGCAGTCAGGGCCCAAAGTCCCTCAGACAAGCTAAGGACTGGATTGTAAATGTGTAAGTAAGACTTTGAAGTTGACAGGATGGACATTGCAGCTCATGCCTGCATGCAGGAGGATCAGAAATTCAAACCCAGCCTTGACTACAGTGTGAGATGAGACTGCCTCAACTACCTTCCATTTCCCCTCAAAAAGAAAAAAGTCATAGTAATTTAAGGATCATTCTGGTTCTTTAAATTGTAGGACTTCCAAAATGAGGAAGCACCAAGAGCCAACTGGACTGGATCTGTAACTCACTGAGGATAGAGCCAATTAGACAATGCAGTGTGCTACAGACTGGAAGCACTAGTGTATTTCTAGGCATGAGAATACTGAAGAGGGTCACTTTACCCAGCTGTGGAGAGAACTGCTGAAGAAAATAGCAAAGTGAGCCAGGGGAAGTAAGCAACTAAAGAACAAAGCCGCATAAGCTGATAAGAATGCCTGAATTCCTGGGTGTGAAAGACAAGGGTTGGTAACTTCTAGGTAGTCATGGCTACTACTGGGCACCTCTATTCAGCCTGGCTCAGTCATTTCCTTCAATCTTCAGCAAGCCCCTAAGAGTAAAACCATTACAATGCCTTGTGGTTATAAAAAAATGAAAATTCCAACCATTATATTTTACCAGTGAAAACTCTGGAGCCAGATGCTGGAGTTAAAACCTAGCAGCTCAGAGAGGCAGAGAAAGCACCCAGCTGATGTTCCTACTCAGCTTATATCCCAAAGAAAAAGGCCTTCCTACACAGCTCACCAAACAGCCCAGGAAGAAAAAGGCAACAGCTAAAAGCCTGAGAGCTGGAGAGCTAAAGCTCTCCTTATTCATGGTGTCTTAAATACCCAATTCAAAGTCCCTCTTTTTTTGTTAATCCCTGTTAGCTGGTTTCTTGCTTTACCTCTTGACCTAGGGTTAACTTTCTTAAATCCTGTCAACAGAAAGCTCAAGGATTAAAGGTGTGTGCTAGGACTGAGTGAACTAGACCATAATCACCTGTTTACAATAAACAGAAAGTTCTTGGATTAAAGGTGTATGTTAGGGCTGATCCACACTAGACAAGAAACTGATGAATCAACCAAGGACCATGCATGGAGAGGACTTAGACCCCCCTCAAATAAAGCCCATGGCAGTCACTGGCATGAACTTAGTTACCTGCTCTTTGATCACCTCCTGGTGAGGTGGCCTTACTATGAAGGACCCCATATCACCCTGAGTTGAACAGAGTTAAACATAGCTAATGCCATTTTGCGGTGTACCACAGTTCTGGGAAAAATAGTAAAGGCCGGATGGGAACTAAAAATTACTCTGAGAAAATCCAGCTAAGTCACCCCCCTCAAGATATCTGCGGTCAAGGCTGCCCCAGCTGAGCCAAAAACAACTTTGTCCTGACCACCCTCATGGGATATCTGACAGGTGGTCCGGCTGAGATAGGAGTCCTGGGAAAAGCAACATATGGTGGCACTAGTCAAGGCCGTCATAATTGTTATGACCACCCAGTTCCTGGAATTCTGATGTCCCTGCCAACCTGATTCATGTGAAAGAGCCAATCAGCTCCCTGTAACTATGCCTCTCGCTTCTGTATCAGTGCTTCTGCTCTAACACTATTAAAAAACCCAGCTTTCTGCCCGGTAAGACGCGTAAAGTCATCTGAGTGACTTTCCGCCCGGGTACCCGTGTATCCAATAAAGCCTCTTGCTGTTTGCATCCGAAAGCCTGGACTCGCTGATCTTTGGGAGGGGGTCTCTCAGACGAAAGATACCCTCAGGGGGGGGGGGTCTTTCAACTAGGCCACAGAGAAAGAAGTTCCATATAGTCCTGATGTGACCTGATAGGCTAGGGTCAGATAGTAGGAGAGTAGGACCTCCCTTATCAGTGGACCAAGGAGGGATATAGGGATATATCAGATTTTTACAGTTCACAGTCTTGGAGTTCACAATGGAATCAAATATCCTGCAACAATGCCTTTTTCCACATGAGAAAATAGACCTGGAGAAAGTGACATCACCAGAATCACATAGATAAGTGTTGTGCAGGGCCTCTAGCTCTGGACTCAGGAGTCCTGCTGAACAGTGTGCATATTCTATGTACACACTCAAGTGTACCCTGACTAGTCTATCTATCCTGACACTGGAGAGAAGGAATAAGATTCTGTAGTTGATCTGGCTTTCAACCAACAAAGTTGATTTGACCTGTTGATGCAAAACAAAACAAAATGAAAAACAACAACAACAAAATAGGTCTTAAAGAAATAGAGTAAGTTTATTCTGGAGCCATTCTGGGAACACAGATTTAGGTTACCCCAAATTTCATGTTCCAATGTGGAAGCAGTTTCACAAGGTTTTTATAGTTTTACAGAATAGGGAAAATCATAAATCAAGGCAAGCATAAAATACATTGGTGGATACAGCAGAGGCAGGCGCATCGAGATGGAGGAAGCTTTCCCATGGCTAAAGATGCTATCTGATGGCATCCTTAACTTTTAATTTGCTAAATCCATAGTCTTAAAAATTTTTATCTGTTGTCACAAGATGTTAGTTCTGACACAGGTGGGCAAGAAATGGCTATTTTGGTGGGCCAGAACTTAGCCCAAGGTAATTAACCTTTGGACCACAACTTTCCAATCTCTTCACAGCCAGTCTCTGTACTTCTTTCAGGAGTTTTCATTCACAGACCTAATGCTGGAAAGAAACTGAATAAAACCTAACCAATCTGGCTGAGAGTTTGGAACACTCTACCCAGAGCCAGCTTCTCCACAGTTGTTTCAATGATGTACACTTTTGGAACTCTCAGTACTTTTTGAATAAGTCTCACGATATTTCTATTTTTCACTGGGCCACGAAAATTACGTATCTAGCTGTGATCTGACCCAACTCGTATACACTTGACTTTTGTTTGTTTTGGTTTTTGAGACAGGGTTTCTCTGTGTAGCCTTGGCCGTACTGGACTCGCTTTGTAGACCAGGCTGACTTCAACTCAAGAGATTGGCCTGCCTCCGCCTCCCTGAGGGCTGGGATCACAGGCGTGCACTACCACGCCCAGTTTACACTTGACCCTGTATACAACAGGCTTCAGGGGTAATGTGAGCCTGGTAAGAAGCAGAAGCGCAGGAGTGATGGTAGAGGTACTCTTGCATCGCTTAAACTGTCTTACACGGTCTCAGCTGTGAGTGGAGACGGGAACTAGGGTGAATACCTCTGTACCCGGAAGCCTCGGATTCTCCGCGCGCAAAACAGAAGGCGTAGGATTAAAGCTAAGGACCTCGGGCTGGGGGCGGGATACGCCATAGGCTCCTCCCCTTGCGCTGGCAGGCGGTCCGGGTCGGCGCCACCTTGCGTAGGTTCCGGGAAGAGGAGGAGGCTCATGCTGGCGTCGCTAAGGGCGCCCATGGAACCCAACCTGCACTTCGGGATTTCCGAACGTCAAGTACGCCAGGGCTGGGGCGGGAGGCTGGCCTGGGCAGTGTGACCTTGACAGACCAGGCCGCTGCCTGGCGGCATGCCCTTTCTCACAGAGATGGTCTTGGACCGCGTATCCCACCTCAGGTTCCTGCAGAGGAAAGGGGAAAACCCTAGCTTGTCAGTGGCTCCTGCTCTGCATCTCTTACTTAGGTCCGAGGCTGGGTTGGAGAAGGCCACAAAGTCACTCAATTGATGGCAGGGCCTCACTAAGGAGTTCCAGTCCTTGTTGGGGACTTCCCTTGCTGGCCAGCACGGTGAGGAGAAAACAAGGCCTTCCAGGCCTCCTAGGCTTGATTGACTCAGCCCATTCAGAGTAAGACTGCACATAAACCCTGCTTTAAGCAAGTCACAGGCCCGCAGGTCACTGTTTGGTAGTTTTTCTAGTAATAACATTAAAAAATTTAAAAAGAAACAGCCATTCATCTTAAGGACATATTTAGTCCAACAAATGCCAAGTAACGTTTCAACGTGTAATAAAAAAAAAAAGATTAGATTCTACAACACCCTCCTTCCCCCTTTTTTCTTTTTTTGGCCCGGTTTGGTATCACTTGTATATCCTTATGGGGCCCCAAAGTTCTAGGTGCTTTCTTAGAGGCCTTGACCTTAAACTAAGTTTTAGCCTACCCTGTTTGTGGAGAGCCAGAACTTAAAGTTGGAGCTGCTTCGAAGATGGGCAGCTTGTTGAAGCAAAACACACTTTCTTCACTTTTGAATGGAGCTGCAACCCCAGCTAAGCCTTTGTTGGGGTGTCTGCCTCTTATTGCTAAAGCCTATAGCAGCAGAGAAGGCCAGGCAGGAGTCAGGTCTTTCTTACCTTGAAGTCATATGACGATATGAACATTTGAATCCCAAATTCTGAGTTTTAATTCCTCAGGGAAACCCTATCCCAATTGGTTAGAGGAGATACAAAATAAATAAATAAAAGTCAGGCTGCCTACAGGTCTTTAGTAAGTATGCCTCTGCTAAAATGAACTGTGACTACCTTGTTAAGTCTTATTTCTTTTAACTTTTTCTCTGTTGTGTCTCTTTCTCATCACCTTCAGTCCTTCTTTCGAAGATTTCTTCAGTGGATGGATTTATTAGATCCTGTAAATCTGTTTATTTCAATTGTAAGTATAATTATGTTTTAAGAAATAATGATTTCATGCTTTATTTTGAAACTTGGAACAATACCCCATATATATGAGTGTATACATGTATATAGGTTATTATATTTAGTATTATTTTTGAGTGAGTGTTTTGGGTTGGAAGAATAGTAAGTTAAACATAAGTCTGTTGAGCAGAGAATAATACCATGCCTGCACTGGATGCTGCTGATTCAAAGTTAATCCAGACCAGCCTTCCAGCCAGCAGTCAGTTGCTTACGGTTGTGAATTTGAGCCAGCTTGGGTTACATAATGGATGTCTCAAAACAAAAACCATCTTCTATGTAACAAGACTATGGCTATGCCTTCATCAGGCGAAAAGTTGGGAGAGTTTCTGATTGGAGCGTCTAGATGAAAGGTTGTCTGAGAGAAGGGATGTGAGTAGAACCCAAGGCTAGAGAGTGGGGCCTCCCTCAGTTACTAATCACTAGGGGTCCAGGCATATCTTTCAGGCTCCTGTAGGTTGGCATTTTTCCTACAGAGCCAAGTAATGAGATATGTGTGCCAAGGGGTCTCTTGGTGGCCAGATAGTAACTAGCCAGAGAGATCATATGTGGGCAAGGCCATTAGTTTTGGGGATGGCTGACGGTCCCTGTAAAAGACAAGGGTTTGAATCATTGTGGCTAGAGATGAAAAGAAGTTGCCGTGCCAGTATAACTTTTCAGGGGCAGACTATAAAGGATATATCCATATTCATACTCTAGATCTCCCTTATCCCTCTATTTTTGCTAAGAACCAGGAAAGAAGCCGAGTACCCATTAGTAGGGAAATACACAATATGATATTTTATATAGTGGAATTCTGACTAGCCATTAAAGTGTGAACTTGTTATCAATATTTTATTTAGTGGAAATGCATAGTATGTGTGATGTTAAATGGGAGAACATGAGGCCCAAATGTGGCTCAGTGATGAACATGGGCAAAGCCTGGGTTCATTCCTAGCACTATAGAAACTCTGTAAACAAATGAGAAGGCAGCTGTCTGTGAGACAAGGTGCACAGTATATAATTTATGCAAATTATGATGAAATACTATGTATTTATTTGTGGGCATATGTATTCAAGTATGTATATATAAGTGTAACAATATGGACTCGAAAATTACACCCTAAATTCATAATAGTGGTATCTGTGATAGGATGAGGAGGGGATGAGTAATGAGTAATGGTTTGTTTTGAAAACAAACAAACAAACAAACAAAAAAAAAAAAAAACAAAATAAAATTAGAAACAAATATAACCAGATGTTACACAGTTGCTAATTCTGGATAAGGGGTTCTATTGTGAATTATTTCTTTTTATTTTGTGTATTTTCCTCAAATAAAAAAAAAAAAGCTGCACAACAAGGTAGATGAGAGGTTAGGGATTGACAGGGTTGTCAAGGCAGTTGACAACCAGAAGCCAGGGAGATGACAGCTTCAGGGGGGAACAGGAGCTGTCTAGGGAGCCAGAAGGTCTAATTCTGAGCAGCGCACAGAATGATCATTGTGATCAGGAACACATCTTGAAATCAAGTGTGCAGCTGAAGGCTGGTGTGTGCTGATAGCTGTGGTTTTCAAAGCTGAGGATAAACACAGACCATGTTGAGATTTTTTTTGCCTGATTTCTTGATGTCTGTTTACAGGGAAGCATAGAAAAATCAAGACAGCTGTTGTTTACCACAGAAGACGCATCCAAACACTACCTGGATGACAAAAGGGTATGTCTCATAAACTCATATGTGCAGTTCGAGGCTGGCTAGAATTGCCTTCACATGGTTTTACCTTGCATATAGTAAAATGAAGTAGAGTCATGTTTGGTAACTAATCTTGTCATTATACATATTGCCTAGGGGATTTACTTTACAAAAATGTGTAGTTAGAATTCTATCTCATAACCCAGCTAGAACAGTGTTCCGCCTACACATACAGTGGGAATTTTTCATATGTGGCCAATTCCTGGAGACCCATGGCAAACTCAAGGGCAGGCCGCTGAAGTCAGAGTCCATATTTTATTGTAGGCAGTATTTCAAGGCAGGGTTATATTCCTACCAGTGAGCTTAGACCAAGTTTTTTTGTTTGTTTTGGTTTGGTTTTTTTTTTTTTTTTTTTTTTTTTTACCTATCTTACTTCTCAAACTCATAAGTATCAGTCCCTCAAGACATCCTGTGGAAGCTGGGCAGTGGTGGCACACACCTTTAATCCCAGCAATTGGCAAGACAAGGCAGGTGGATCACTGAGTTCCAGGCCAGCTTGGTCTACAGAGCTAGTTCCAGGACAGATAGAGTTATACAGAAAAACCGTTTTGGAAGAAAAAAAGAAAAGCTCATATTAGCTTTGTAGGGTTTTTTTGGTGTGTGTGTTTTTAAGATTTACTTATTTATATACATGAGTGTTCTGTCTTTCTGTATCTCTGCATGACAGAAGAGGGCATCGGATCCCATTATAGATGGTTGTGAGCTACCATGTGGTTGCTGGGAATTGAACTCAGGATCTCTGGAAGAGCAACCAGTACAGTACTCTTAACCACTGAGCTACCTCTCCAGCCCCTAGCCTACTTGTTGAAGCCTCTGGGCTTACAGTTGGCTCTGTGACAGATGGTGGGACTGATGGCTTTGGAAAGTCTCTGCATGCTGTCTGGGCTAGGAGACATTCTAGACTCCCTGAAGGGCTGTCAAATGACAATTCTCCCCATGGTGCTAGGACTTCTTAATGTTCTGTGCAGTTTCTTCATAAATCACTTGGCAAGTTGTTAGTTTACTTTGTATTTATTTGATCCATTTGATGCGTTCATTTTGGCTTACTGTTCCCTCTTCTATAGCTTGCCCTGTCTGAATGGTAGTATAACTGTGACATCAAGAATTAAGACTGGCCAAGAGATTCTGTTTGCTGTTGAACCACCTTTAAAATCTGATGCTTCTTGTTATCTTTCTTTAGATTAAAGACGCATGGAATAGGAGTCTTGTAAGTTCCAGCTCCTTTATAATTGTTGGCTTTCTAAATAATAAAATTCACCATCCAGCTAACCTTTTCTTCTGCTCCTTTGAAGTCATCTGTACACCCTGACAGCAGCAAGTTGATCCCCACTCTTTTCCGACCTGCAGGTGAGCTGGTTATCTTGTTCAGAAGTAGGTGGGGAAGGTGTGGCTTATAACAGAAAATACCCTACTTTAATTTATTTTCCTTTATATGGATTGATGATGGAAATTCTGGAAGCCATAGCTTTAAAAGAATACTTGAGAGGTCCTGGGCGGTAATTTACTCAGTCAAGTACCTGTGTGCAGGCATGAAGACCTGAGTTCAGATCCACTTTGTAGAAAAACTTGGCTTGTAACTCAGCACTTGGGAGGTGGAGAGTGGATTCAGTGTCTAGCCAGTTTAGTTTAATTGGTGAGCAGGTTCAAAAAATAAAGTGGCACATGCTTTTAATCCCAAAACTAAGCAAGTTAAGGCAGGCAGATCTCTGTGAATTCAAGATCAGCTTAATCTTCACAGCAAGCTCCAGGCCATCCAGGGCTATATAGTAAAACCTTATCTTAAGCAAAAAAGGTAGACAGCTGTTGAAGAAAACACAGAATTTGTCTTCTGACATCCACATGCACATTTATAAAATTCACGTTACCACTCCCTTACATGCATACACACCATACTTGAAGGACTGGGATGTAGCTCAGTTGGTTGAGTGCCTCCCTAGCATGCAAAAGCCTTGGGTTTGATCACCAGCACCAGCACCACACCACATAAACTGAGATGTCATGGTACATAATCTCAGCATATGGGGGGTTGGAGGCAGGAAGATTAGGAGCTTAAGACCATTTTCAGCTATGTAGGAAGTTTGAAGCTTCCTGGACTACATGAGACCCTGCCTCAAAGGAAAAAAAAATTTTTTTTTAATCTAGAAAGATGGACAAGTTAACAGTCATTACCATTTTCCTTCAGGCAGAGGCCTGGGAAGGCTGCCAGGTATCTTTATGGTAGGTCTTTCTGTATCTTAATTTTCTACCATATGTACTCAGCTGCGTGTGCGTGCATGCAAACACATTCATGCTAGTGTACATGTACATATGGGCATATGGAGGCCAGAGGTTGACCTTTATTATTCTCTACCATTTAAAAAAATTGAAAAAGGGCTTCTCCTAAATCAGGAGCTTATAGAATTTGTCTAAGCTAATAATAAGTCAGTAAGCTCCAGGGACCCATTTCTCTTTGCCTTTATAGACATATGCTACTGTATTTGGCTTTTTGTGTGAGTACCAGAGACATGAACCCAGTTCCTCAAGTTTGTACTGCAAGTACTTTACTAAATGAGCCATTTCCCCATCCTCATAGTTTTTATTTTTATTAGGAAAAAGAAAAACAACGATGTTCCCTAAGGTTTGAGCCCTTGGGAGGCTGCAGAAAATTATCAAGGGATGGTGCCCCTTCAGGGCTTGTCAGCCTGGTTAGCCATGATCACTAACACAGTGCTCTCTCCTACAGCTTTCCTGCCTGTGACAGCACCCATGGTGAGTTAGCTGACCTCTAGCATCAGGGAAATGGGTAAAGTTTTGGATACTCATTATCTGGCCTCAACTGCGTCCCTCCAGCTCTGGATCTCTAATAGATGAGTCTAGATCCTCCTGTGGCTTTGTCTGCTTTTCCTGTATCCACACCCTATTCCACTTAACTTAGTCAAGCTTTGGACTTTTCAAAAGCCTGTGTCACAAAGCCATCCTTTCTTTGAACATCTACCATATACATAGTACTGTAGATCAGAGAGTTGGGAAATACTGTTGGCCACAGCCTAATGGAAGTGTACATGACTTTCTGTGTTAATCAAATTTCTGTTACTTTAACAAATACCTGAGGTAATCAGTGTATAAAAACAAAAGCTTCATACATCCATACAGATAACAAAAATAAATTTTTAAAAAGGGGGTTGGAGCTAGATTGAATGCTAGCTTCTTCTGGCTCTTGCAGAGGATCTGAGTTCAGTATTAACATTGGGCAGTTCACAACTGTATATAATTTAGTCCCAGAAGTATCTGAAGCCAGCCTCTGGCCTCTGTGGGCACCAGCACTCATGTACACATACCCCAACACATGTATACATATATACATGTAATTAAAAATAATAAAACTAAATATTTAAGGAAATGAATTTTTATTAAGGGACAATGAGATGGCTCAGCAGGCTAAAGCCCTCAACCCTGTTTCTGTCCACAAGACCCACATAATGGAAAGAGAAAACCAATTCCTCCAAGTTGTCTTCTGACTTTTATGATACAATAAATAAATAAATGCAGGGGGGAAAAAAGAAAATTTATTCTGGCTGATAGTTTTGGAGACATCATTCCATGCTCACTTGAACCCATTGCTTTTGAGTCTATAGTGAATCAGTACAGAATAGTGAAAATATATTAGGGAGTAGGGAGCAAGATGTTTACTCGATGGCACCCAGTAAATGAAAGAAATAGAGACTAGGGTTCCGCACACCCTTCAAAGAGCATGTCCCCAGTAAACTGAAGACATCCCTTTAGATAGCTTTCATTGTCACCCCAAGCTGGAGACCAAGCCTTTAGTTCATTTGTATCCAGCTAAAGCATCTCTGGAAGATATTCCTGACCAAACTATAGTACCCTTCTTACCCGAGCCCACCTCCACGCAACTTCTCACTGAGAACTGGGAATTGCCCCCAGTAAGGCCATCCCATGCTGGCTGTATTTCCTCTACTCTTATCTTATGTTTACCTTTCCCTGGCAAAGGCAGGCTTTTCGGTGGCCATGCTGTCTAGTAGGCCTTGGAAACAGCATTGGTGAAACTCTCAGGTACTACTGGTTCAGGGTTGGTTAAGTGCACTCCAAACATGGGTTTGTCCCCTGGCTATCAATACTGTGTCCACTTCCTATTGTGTCAGCCTTAGGGGCCTTGGTACTGTGTCTCAGTTAGGATTTTATTGCTGTGAAGAGACACAATAATTAATTGGGGGCTTGCTTACAGTTCCAGAGGTTTAGTCCATTATCATTATGGGAGAAGCATGGAGGCATGGAGGCAGACATGGTACTGGAGAGGAGCTGAGAGCTCTACATCTGGATCCATAAACCTCAAAGCCCACCCCTGGGTAATACATTTCCTTCATCAAGGCCACACCTACTCCAGAAAAGCCACACCTTCAATAATGTGCCACTTTATGAGTCTCTGGGGGCCATTTTCATTCAGACTACCACAGTCCTGTATTGACTGTTTGGAAACTATTTTTATTTCTGCAGGCTTTGTCGCTTCACCAGAGACTCATAAGCATGTTTTGTTTTGTTTTTTTCCAAAGGTAGTTCTGTTAATGATGCCAGCTACTGGAATGAAGTCCATCGTTTTAACTCAGGTAGACTTTGAATTTCATGATTTCTGGGTTCTATTATACTTGAAACCAGGAAGTGATCCACTGAGTTCTCTCTCATTCTGTAGGCTTGCTTGTACGGATACACCACACCCTTTAACATCATCAATGGAAATGCCAGTTATGTAAGTATTGCGAACCCTAGGAAAACAGGATTTGGATTTTTACAAACTGTTCTTGCAGAGCAAAACCATAACTGTGTATTATGTTCTCTCATTTTTCCTTAGAGTCATGGACCAGTAGAGAGAGCAGTTTTGGGAGCAGGGGTGTTTGTGTCTTCAACCTTCTTTGGAGTAGGTGTTTTTAAACCCTATTGTTCTAGTTCATCTCTGTTTCTCTGACAAGAAACAGTTTAGGGGAGGAAAGGTTTTATTTCATCTTACATTTCCAGATCATAGTCTATCATTGAGGGAGGCCAGGTCAGGAACTCCAGACAGGAATCTGAAGGCAGAACCACTTGCTATTCCTTGCAGGTTTACTTCTGACCCAGGAATTCACTCACAGCTGAGGAAGTTCAGCAGGAACCATGGAAGATACTGCTTGCTAGCTGGCTTGCTCCCAGGCTCAAGCTTCCCTAGTTTTCTTCTAGAGGAAGCCTAGGCGCACATTCGTCGGGGTAGTGGTGGCACAGGAGGATGAGCCCTCCCACATGAAACATTAATCAAGACAGTTTCTTATAGATATGTCCACAGGCCATTCTGATTTTGACAGTCCCTTAATTGAGATTCTAAGTAGGATACCTGTCAAACCATTTTTATTCCTCAAAACAAAAATAAAATAAATTGATTCTAACTTAATTACAAATATTATTTCTGTTTGGACCTGTAAATTTTGAACATCTGAGTGGAAAATACTAGTCAATGTAATCCTGTCTTCTCAGAGTAATCGCTTACTACCGCATCTAAGTTTCTAGCCATATATGGTAAGTTTTACATTCAGGGAAGTAACTGTGGGCAGACAATATCTATACTAATTATAGATGAATGCTTTATCTTGTCATCCTCTAAGCAAAACAGTATAATAGTACTCATATAGCATTTCTATTACACTGGGTGCTATATCTAATTTAGAGGTGATTTAAGAGCTAGGATAAGATATATCTAAGTTATAGTGTATATAATGTATAAAGTACATAATGATACAGATGCATCATTCTATGTAAGAGACTTGAGCATCTAAACAGTTCAAGGAAGCATCTAAACAGTATCTAAGGAAGGTCCTGACACTAATACTGAGGCATAGCTTTACTCAGTACAGTTTTTTTTTTTTTTTAGTTCATACCACAGAAACTTAATATATATGTAGTATCCTACTTTGGATATCAGAATTCTGGATTGGTTAAAAATGTAGATCCTGGGCCAGGATTGTTGGTACATATCTTTAATCTCTGCACTCGGGAGGCAGGGGCAGATGGATCTCTGTGAGTCTGAGGCCCACCTGGACTACATAGCAAGTTCTAGGACAGTCAGAGCTATATAACAGACTTTGTCTCCGAAAACTGAAAGAAAACAAATGTACACCCTAAGGCCATGCGTGGTGCACAGACCTATGAGCCCAACACTCAGGAGCCTGAACTGGTAGGATTATGAGTTTGAGGTCAGCCTGGGCTATGTATAAAGATCCATAAATAAGACTTTAGAGGTAGACAAGCCCAATTTCCCAGTCTGGCTTTAAACCTTTCTAGCTCTTAAGACTATGAATGAAGAGGTTACATAATCTCTAGGTTCCCATCTACCCCTTGAATAAGCGGAAAGATCTACCTCAGGGTTGTAATTAAAACAAAACAAAAAATAATTTGTGTGAGTGTGCTGGCTATGATGGGAACCAAATCGTGCCAGCTCTGCTGCTCTGTTGGCTCAGCTAAGTATTTGGTCATGTGAAATGATTTTTTTCCTTCTTATTTTACAGTTAATCCCTCATCTCTTTCAAATGAAGTATCCCCTGAGTAACTTTTGGCTTAAAAGAGCCTTACCAATCGCCTTTCTTGGTAAGCAGGAAGGGCTGAGAGCATGAAGCTGTTCTTTGAGGTCATTTCAGCTCCAGAGACCCTGGGTAACTTGACCATGTTGTGACCTGTGACAGTACCATTTGTAGCTTGCTAGGTCTCCCTGGCCTAACATGACATGTTCTCTGTAGATATCTTCTTTAATTTATATTTTAATTTTTATATGTTTTTAATTATGTGTAAGTATGTACATGTGAATGCAGGTTCCTATGGAGGCCAGAAAAGGGCACTGAATTATAAGCAGTAATGAGCCACTCAGTATGAATGCTAGGAATCAAACTTGAGTCCTCTGCAAGAGCAAAATGTCCTCTGAACTGCTGAGCCCTCTCTTCAACACTGTGGATATACTTTTAATTGTTAAAAAATAAACACAAGCTGGGCGCCACCCTGGCTCATGCCTCTAATCCCAACTTTCAAGGAGGTAGAGACAGGTGTATCTCTGTGAGTTTGAGGCCAGCTTGGTCTAGAAAGCAAGTCTAGGACAGCCAAGGCCACACAGAGAAACCCTGTCTTGAAAAAACAAAAATTAATAAATTACAAATCTGGGTATAGTGGCACACACCTTTAATCCCAGAGAAACCCTGTGTAGAAACAAACAAACAAACAAACAAACTACAAATTCCTTTCATTGTTACTTTCATTTGCACTGCAGATGATCAAACCCAGGACCTGGTGTGTATTAGGCAAGCACTCTACAGCTAATTCTCAACCTACTTAAATTATATTTTAAAGATTTGTCTTACACAAATATTTCCTATTCATCATTTCACATAATCCTGATAATCTATGGGTAAGAAATATTTCCTTTTACAAGTGAGAAGTCTTGAGGTACGGGGAGTTTGAAAAACTGGGCATGGTGGTACCTGTAATCCCAGCACTCAATGAGGCAGAGGCAGGTGACTCTCTGTGAGTTTGAGGCCAGCCTGGTCTACAAAGCGAGTGCAGGGCAGCCAAGGCTACAGAGAAACCCTGGCTTAAAAAAACAACAAACTTGCTCAGAGTCTCACAGTAAGCAGGTGGCAGTATAGGGGTCCCAGGTATAGGGGAGTGAGAAACTCCAGAGAGAGTTACTTGTCTTCGCAGAATTCTTTGAGTTCCCTAGCCTACAGGTTTACTGTTTCTTGTTCCACATTTAAGCTTGGGAATCAGAGAAATTTGAAGAATTGGCAGCTTGATGTTCAAGTTTGGCAAGTGATGTTGCAGACATAGAGTCAATCCATGTCAAGCAGAATTAAGAAAGTCATTTCAAGGATCCTTGGGGATTATTAGTGCAGTTGAGCCAGAGAGACAGAATGGACCTCATACACTGGGATAGACTGTGGGCTGTAGTCAGGATCAAAGACCAGTTGGTTAAAGGTTCTGATCCTACCTCTACAGCCCCAGGAGAGAGCTTGGGTGGCCCTGTCTGTAGCAGGTGATTATCTGAGAGTCAAGAAGGGCAGCTGTTGCAATGATCTTGTACAAATGTTCCCTTGCTGCGCTAAAACTCAGACTTCTGTTTATGCGCTTTCTATCTACAGCCCAAGTCAGTGGAATGAATGTTTTTGCATCCCGAAGTTTTGAGAGCCACCGAGGCATTGAGGTGATGGACAAGGAAGGTCATGTTGTTGGCTATTCCAGAAAAGCTGGAAGAAAGGTTTGAAGCACAGTGAAGCTATGGCTACTGCTTATCCTTGGGTTCAGAATTGGATTTTGTATTTGAGAGCTTGTAACCTAATATCTGTTTGCCTTCCACTTTTCCTAAGCACATCTTCCCCTGTCATACCAGAAAAAGATTCTGTACTTTGTATCCTGTGTTTAAGAGATGGTGCAGTCATGTGGGTTTGCCAGAGAAACAAAACTTTTAGATGTGAGTCACCATGTGAGTGCTCAGAACCAAATCTAGGCTATGTGTAAGAACTGCAAGTGCTCTTAAACCATCTCTCCAGACTGTAAAGATGTATTTTATTTACATGAATGTGTCTATATGAGTGAATTTTCTGTGTGTGTGTGTCAGTGGGTGGGTGGGGGCAGTCCTGAACTCAGGTTCTTTGCAAGAACAGCAAGTGCTTTTAACCTCTGAGCTATCACTGTAGACCCTGCAAAATGCTGCACATTTTACATTCATGCCAAGTAAAATATGACCTTATAGAATTCTACTGTTAATTACACAAGTGAGAGCTGGATGTAGACAGTTATCCTTGCTTGGAGAGTAGCCCAGTGTATTCAAAGCTGGCTTTGGGGAGATGGTAGGATGAGAACCACTGGTGAGCAACTTAGAATAGGAGGCTGGTGGCAGAGGTAAGGTTGAAAGGCAATATGAGCCAAATTCAAGGCAAATCCTGAATTGTCTCTGGAGGCTGCTATTTTAGTTCACTCTAGGTGAGGCTTTCTCTAGAAGCTGCCTTGGTATGTACTTTTGAGGGCGACTTATTGGGGGTGTTTTGATAGATTGATGGGGATTACAGTGGGGTAAAGGAGGTAAAATCCCTTCTCAGTTACCGTTAGCTCACAGTTAGTTCACAGACAGCTGTGAACACCGGCCCCTGTAAAGTGTCACCTTGACGTCTTTCCCAGTGAGAAAGGAGCTATTGTACGCTAGTCTCTAGTGGGGTCCCTGGACATTGTCTCCCTTTATTAAGTTGTCTCCTTGGCTTTCTTACCAGGCTATTGAAGAAACAGCATTCTCCAGGGCAGTGCTGTTTGGGACCTCAGCCCTGGTTCCTGAAGTCTTTATCCACTTCTTTAAAAGGTAAGAGCTGCCTTTCCCTATGTGGTCAAACCCATCTAAGAGAGAAAAGAAACAAATCAAAACCTTTATAAACTTACAAGGGACGGGCAGGCATGAGGGCCTCTGTAGCCTTCCTATAAGATGGACTAGGTAAGAGAATTTGTCTGGACAAGAATCTAGAAGTGTTGCCTGCATGAACCTGGAACTTATGCTCCTTCCCCTTGGTTAGCTGTCTCTGGACATGTCCACTCTCCTACTGTAGGAGATTGTAGTGGTGTGCTCTTCAGGTTCTTCCCAGCTCTGCTCACTCTTTACCCTTCTCTGACTTCAATGTACTTTATAGGTCCAAATTGCTCCCAATCCAGCAGACTGACATTCCTTTGATAAAACAAGAAATGGCATGTTAATGGGGTTAGGGCTAAAGAAATGTGGGTAGAGTGCTTGCCTCGTCTGCACAAGGCTCTGGATTTGACCTCAGGCACCTCACAAATGGCATGGTGGTACACACTATAATCCTTGCACTTAGAAGGTGGAGACAGGAGGATGAGGAACTCATGAGGAACTATGGCTACATAGTTCATTTAAGGCCAACCTGCCTTAAAACAAAACAAAAACCTGTTGTAGGTAGAGATCTTAGGGGGTCAGGTGGGCTCCAGTGGTTGCCAAGTGAGAAACTCAGTCTGCAGATACAGAGATAGCTATCTAGCAGTAGTAGTCTAAAGCCCTGAACTTGGGAGTACCTCTGCTGGGTGTTTTCCTTTCCTTCAGCTCTGGTGTTGAAAGCCTTCTGCCAAAGTGGATGCTTAAAGAGACACAACTGCTGACCCTCCCTGGTCACCTCACAGCCTCCCCATCAGAGAGCCATACAGCAAAACTTAAAGGCAGATCTGCTTCATTCAGATAAGAGAATCCAGAACTTTCTGTAGGCACATGATGGTCACGTGTCTATCCTAAACCAGCCATTCAGTCCATCATGGCAAGTCTACAAAGCCTATCTAGTACCTCATGTGGGGCACATTTCATGAAATAAGGAAATGCCCTGGGCAGAACAAAATGTCCTGTCCCTTCCCACAGGAGAGCTGACCAGATAGATGCAGAGATTTGCTTAGTTGGATTCTACCTGGGCTGTTCTCGTCAGTCTCAACCCTGAAGCTCTGAGCTGCAATGCTTGTTATACATGAATGATACTCAGGATTTCTGCAGGGTTAAAGTGGCATTTATTTCCAGGGTGTGAAGAGAAGTTGGAAGGACAGTGCCAGTAGATGATCTCACAGAACCACTGTCTCAGAGCCAGGACAGCATAGTGGCATCCATAGTAGAGCATCGTATGGACCTTCCATCTCAGTTTCTTCTTTTTGAGTCTCAAGAAATAAAAAACCCAAGGCTTAGAAAGGGCAAGTGAATTCCCATTGGGCACATGCTTGGTCAACAGAATTGCGCACATAGCCTTCGTGTAGCCTCAGGTCTCTCTCTGACTCTCCAGGCTGGAGTGCTATGTGCATCACCACACTGCCCCTTCCATTCTTTAAAGAATATCACACAGCTAGGCAGTGGTGACACGTGCCTTTAATCCCAGCACACAGGCAAGCACACAGAGGCAAGAAGATCTCTGAGTTCAAGGCCAGCCTAGTCTACAGAGCATGTTCCAGGACAGCCAGGGATACTAAGAGAAACCCTGTCTCAAAAAACAAAGGAGGACAATGAAGCCAGGCCTGATGAGACCTGATAGGCTAGGGTCAGATGAAAGGGCAGGAGGACCTCCCCTATCAGTGGACTTGGAGAGGAGCATGGAAGGAGATAAGGGACGGAGGGAGAGTGGGATTGGGAGGGAATGAGAGGGGGGGCTACAGCTGGGATATGAAATGAATAAACTGTAATTAATATAAAAATAATTTAATTAAAAGCAAAACAAAAGACTAAGTCACATGCTTTAGATTCTGAACTATCACTTCAAGTTCTGGAGTTTTGACAAGTTGCTCTAAGTGGTCAGTTCCTTACTCATTTCTTTTTTCTTTTCCTTTTTTTTTTTTTTTTTTATTTCAAGACAGGGTTTCTCTGGGTAGCCATGGCTGTCCTGGACTCACTTTGTAGACCAGGCTGGCCTCGAACTCAGAGAGATCTACCTGCCTCAGCCTCCTTGAATTGCTACGATTTACAGGCATGTGCTACTGAGCCTGGTTTACTTCCTCATTTCTATGAAAGGGTTGAATAAATAAGCTTCACTCAGTCCATGTGCATTTTAAGGCCTGCTGATGGATGGTTGCAGAGTGCCCAAGGTGTAGGTCTGTAGCTTCATGCTAAGCCAAATTTGCTGTCATTGAAGCACAAGGCCTGCTTCAGAAAAGAGGCCCTGAAATGTTGAGCTCTGCTTGTGAGCTGTGCTTTGTCTCTTACAGGACCCAGTTTTCCCCACAAAGCTCGTTTTCATTAATGACCTTGAGAATGGGTTGTACCCTGTTTATGATGGGGCTGATGGTGCCTGTGTCATTCAGCATGTTTCCACAAATCGGACAGGTAAGAGCTCCCACTGCTTCCCCTCATAAGAGTAACTGGGTGTTTATTTCATGTTTGTACAAGTAAAATAAATAATTTTAGCCAGGCAGTGGTGGTGCACACCTTCAATCACAGTCCTCAGAAAACAGAGGTAGGCAGATCTCTTGATCGAGGCCAGCCTGGTCTACAGAGCAAGTTCCAGGACAGTCAGAGCCACACAGAGAAACCCTGTCTCCAAACCAAACCAAATCAAACAAATAATAAAAACACAAATAATTTTATTTAAAAATCTGCAAAGGTGGGGCTGGAGTGATGGCCCATGAAGGTGTATATTTATGCCCCTGGAGAGGTGGCCAGGGTCTCTGGGGCAAGGTTTGTGTGGCCTTATCATTGGACAGGGCAATGGTAGATGCTTCATCTGCATACTCTGTAGGGGTTGTAGATTTAGCGGGGAGGGCTTGTACGGTCAAACAACGAGTGAAGTCTGATAACTGAGGTTTTTTTGTTGTTTTGTTTTGTTTTTTTTATTTATTTTCGTTTTTTTGAGACAAGGTTTCTCTATGTAACCTTGGCTGTCCTGGACTCTCTTTGTAGACCAGGCTGTCTTCAAACTCAGAGATCCATCTGACTACGTCTCTGAGTGCTGGGATTACAGGTGTGCACCACCCCTGGCTAATAAATTCTTACTGGAGTTGATGGTGGGGAGCTGGTTTTATGGTGCCAGGTTGGGAGAAGGGAGGGAGGCAACTCCTGCCATCCTCATGTCTGAGGTGTCCGTGGCTGAAGCTTCCTCTGCCCTTCTCCCATAACCCTGGACCGGGATAGTCCCACACTCTATCACGGTCAGTTTTCTCAGTTTCCTTGTCTGTTAAAGGAAGTTGGAGACAGTGTCTGTGCCAAGAATCATTGCTTTAGAGATTTATCTGTGCCTGTTTAAAACTCAGCTCATAGGCCAGTGAGATGGCTTAGCAGATAGAGGTACTTGCCATCAAGCCTCAAGACCTGTGTTCAGTCACTGAGACCCACTGAGGAGAAAACTGACTCCTGAAGGTTATCCTCTGAGCTCTATACGTGTGCCATTGCATATACACCCACACAAATAAAATAAATGCAAATTTAAAAACAACAAAAAGGCCTCTGGAAGAGGACAGACCCTGGGATCAATAATAGGATCTATCACATGCTCTTGCAGGAAAGCTGATACAAGTGTGGAAATTACTGTTCCGTGATAGAAAGTAAACTTGAACAAAGGGGCTAGAAGCAAGGAAGGCTTCCTGGAAGAGGGTGCCTCTGGAAATGCCTGGAATTGCACAGGCAGAGGTGGGACTAAAAGAACATTTCCCAGTAGGAGGGAGGTATGGACAATATGACCTCATGGGACTGGCAGGATGCTGAGACCAAAGTTAGCAGTGCAACACCAAGCAGAGGGAGCAGGCAGTAGGCTTGAAGGGGTCATGCAAGGGCCTTGCCAGGCATGGATGCTGAATCTCAGAGGGCAGAGTAGGGGCAGGAAGTAGGTGGGGTCTGTCTGCCAGCACCGTCCCAAAAGTTCACCAGATCTTGAGGTGCCTGTCAGTGCAGGTGGGTGGTGGAGATGGTCCAAGGGCAGTCTTGTGGTGATGGGATACTGGCCTTGAATGTTCATCCTAAGGCTGAGAGGGGTCAGCATCTCTTTAGGTAACCCTGTAGTACCTGATACAGGAGCCTGTCCCTTCAGAGCTCCTCTGCTTGCCACCAGCTAATGACTACATTCAACCTTGCAAGACTAGAAATGGGCTTTGGATGTTAGGGATCCACTGTGAACATTTGCTAGGTGTGATAACTCTTCCTGTGTGCATGGTACCAGCCTTTACTATCTGTAATATCTGTACTGGAGTGTGTGTAGGTGAAATGATGCATATGAAAATTGCCTTGGAATGTGCAACGAGCCAGGTGTATTATTGTATTTCCAGTATTCTAGAGTCTGATGTAAGAGGAGATTGTAAGTTCAAGGCCATTCTGGCCTACACATCAAGATCCTGTCCCCAAAACCAAAAAAACTAGGGAACCGGTCCCCTACACTTATGGGTGTGGTAAATGCTCCAGGTCAAATCAAATCAGATCTTTGTAGTTATTGTTGAGTGATGATTGTATAAAAGAGCCTATTACATTCCCTAAAGTTCTAAGAAATGGTATGTCTTGCTATCAATTAGTTATCATTGAGACAGATGTGAAAATGGGTGCTTTCTTAAAACTTGGCTTTTGACGCAGAAGTTAAGCATGAATTATAAAGAATGTGATCTTGTCTTTCAGATCCAGTGCAGTCAGCTTGAAAAGACGATTCAGTCATCTACAGAAGAAAAAGAGCTCTTCTATAACAGAGGAGTGTAGGGTCAGGCAAGTTTGGCTTCTGTCTGGAAATCTTTAGCCTGTCAAGGTTCATTTAGAGAGCACTGCTGTGTCCTCTGGGTTCCCAGCAATACCTGTGCAGCACCTGGGGTTTTGAGACTGACTGAAAGAAGAGCAACACCCAGGAAACTGCTGAACGAACAGTGAATGAAGTAAGAATCAGCCTAGTAAAAGATAGTGTAAACCTAATAAACTTACTTAAAGTTGAGTACTTGAAAAATAGTCAAAAGGTACATTGTGTCTCAGATACAAACACTACAATGATAGCCTCCAGATAGACAAAAAACTCTGGTGAGCTCATTAAAGCTCTGGTCCCTGAAGTAATTCTGTGTCCCTACTTATTTCATCTGATCCACACTGCAGGTATTCTGTCTGCTTCCCTGGTTCCTAACTGACAGGACCCTGATACTTCTGTTTTTATAATAACCAAGGCCTCTTGCCAGTAACAGCTTTTTTCCCAACACCAGTCCAGGTCTATGCACAATCAACTCTCAGGAATACCCATCTCCCTTTCTTTGGGCCTTGCTCTGTAGCCATTGGGATATCTCTGGCTCATCTCCCAGGATCACTGAAACTGCCTCATCAAAAAAGCAATACATCTTTCCTAGCCAGACTTTTTTCTCTTTCCTTTTCTTCTGATTCTTCCTCCCTCTCTTATTCTTTAAGATGTTTTTCTGTGTTGGCCCCAGCCTACATCCTACAGAGGTGGCTCTTGCCCAAGCCCCATCCAAGGCTGAACTGCCATTCTGCCAGCCCCTCAGACACCAACCAGTTGCCACAATGTACTTGGCTCTTTGGATGCCCCACAGGACTGAACCATGCCTTAGCTCAGCTCCCTGTTAGTGACATCATTTACCCACCTGTGTCTGATAGATGCCTTCGCACCCAAACTCCTCACCCAGATGGGCATAAATTCATATGTTAAGAACCCAAGGCTTCAGGTGCCACCTCAGTTCAGTGTAACATGCTGGCATTGCCTTGTGCCTTTCTGGTTTGCTCTGGCTGTTCTCTGAACCTTCCTGGTTATGTTGGAAGACCAAGTTCTGATCCCTTACACCCTTTGAAAACCTCCATCTCACCCATCTCTTGTCATTCCCTTTTTTT